GAAGAGGAAGCCGCTGGAGTGTTGCATCATGCAGCTACAGCATGTATGTTTTTCCATCCCTGTTTACCTCTCCAGCACTCTTGCCCTTGCAGACACTGACCAGCAAACCAGCAGCAGCTTGATTTCTGCTCATATAAATGGGACAAAGTGAGTTACAGTTAAGACAAAAGATTCCAAGTCTCTAAATAGCTGAGTAACGAGGCTCCCATTTGACCCAGCCACATCATCAGTCTAAATCCTATCAATGGGAACAAAACAAATTGTACAGCCGAAAGGTACTTGTTATCATTCTGGCTCTCTCTCTCCACAACATAACAGAGAAGCTGAACCCTGTTATGGCACTCTCTCTCACCCTTCTTCTTCCGTTTTCACTCTTTCATGACTAGCTAATGAATGTAGATGGTGCTCTGGGGGATGCAGTGGTCTTATTACAGGGGTTATGTGTGCATGCTGCAAGCTCTGCTTTCCACATTCAGGCCAGAGAAAGAGGTTCAATTGCTTTACCAAAGCCTCCACCTCAATAAACAGAGGGGTTAAAGAGGTTTGTTTATTGGGCCCACCTTGGTTTGACCTCCGTAGCTCAGGAACAAGCTACGTGATTACAGAAGTGTTGGTAGAACCTATGGAGAGCAGGACCAGTCTGCTTGTGCTGGCTCCCCTTCTGTCTCCACATAAATCAGATGAAAAGGGTGATGATCCGCAAACGTGAAAACAACGCGGGTGGAATGTAAGAGGGAGGATTACGTGGTTTATCCAGCATGTTTGTGGTAAAACAAGTCAGATTCGGTGGTCTACAATGATGTATCTGTTCTCCATGAACAAATATCTGAACATCTCACAGTAGAAAGTATTTAACACATTTAATGAGAGCACTTGGCCATTCTGCATGTGTAACCAGCAAATACAGTATCAGTATTTACATTCGCAGTCAGCGTTCCTGTTGAACCTGGATGTCATGATTGGAGAGATATAAACTTATAGAGCAACATTTCCTTTTAAGCAGAAAAAAATTCCATCATGAAGTCTGTAAGTTACCTTATTTTTTAATAGTAATAGCATCAATTCAATTATTTATTAAATCAATGTAATTATTTTTGTCAAGTTAAATATGTGTCTTTATGTCTGATTTGCATCCAGTTATGACTGTTATCATGTTGAATTTAAAATGTAGATCTATTTCTTTTTGGCTGTTATAACTGACATGTACAATAGAGTACTAGGGCCATACTAAGAAAAAACAAAACAAGAATAAAGCTATTGTATGACGAGAAAGAAGTTGAAAGTATATGAAAATAAACTCATAATGATATAAGAATAAAGTCGTAAAATTATAAATTTTAGTCATGACGTATGACTTTATTCTCATAACACTACAAATGTATTCTTGCATTATTTTGACTATTATCATAATATTGTGACTTAGTTCTCTGTTTTTCTTTTGCTGGCCTGACCCTAATACTCCATTGCAAATACCCAACCTGAAAATCAGAAGCACATACAAATATTGTCAAAATTGTCTGTAATCAACCAGTAGCTTTGTGCAGTGCTAATTATTTTTTAACCTCAAAATAAACACATCAAAGCCGAAAACAACGCTGCCCTTTTTAAAGGAAGCACACTTTTATTAAAATTCAGGAAGCTTTGTGTCCCGTTATGTCCTGCAGGTGTTGTGTTTATCTTCAACTGCTGAAGATAACATTACTGAGATAACATCACTGAGATAACGTCACCGTGTTTCATTTGTAAGGCATTCATCAGTGCAGAGATGACTTGATCCCCCCCCCCCCCTCAGCCAGGAGTTTGACTGCCACTCCGGGGGCAGAAAGAGTGATAAAAAGTTATCAATAAGATTCTGATGTGAACATGGCTTCCTCATCTAGATCTTGCAGGACAAAACTACATGCAAAGTTTTGAAAGCAATGCTGGTTACCTTTCTTTAGCTTTTGCTGACAACTACTAAAATACCTTATTCTGGGCATGCATGCAATTTGATATAATTAACTTGTGTTTGTAATGGTAATCAAAAATGTATTAACAATAATTGATAAAAAGAAGTTTATAACCCTTTATTTCTGTCAGCAACCTGTCACACTATATGACAGATTAACACGAATTCTCATTGTTTTCATTGGAAAGTGCTGAGGAAATACATATTTTGGTTTTTGTAATTGAACTCCTGTTTTTGCCATACGTAGGGAAACCAGGCCTGATGGTTAATCTGGGTCTTGTGGGATAGAATAGATTAGTACACTGTCAGACTTGGTGTTGCTCTCTGATGCGCAGGCAAATCTCTCAGGTCTTTCTCATGATCAGCAGTCTAGTCCTTTTTACTTGTAATTGGCAAGTTTTAAGCAGTTTTTAACAGAATGCGTACGACAGCTCAATCACTACTTCAACTACCACAGTTACAGGGACTAAGTTGTGATCTGTGCTTTAATTTTGTTAATATATGCAGCTCTGCAGCTGTGTTTTATTAATAATTCATCTCTTTTTTGGGTCTCCTGTTGAAAAAACCCAAACGTAGGTGTTTTCATTCTGTTTATTAATGAGAAAATTGTAAATAAAAGATGGTGACATGGCCCTCACCTACCAATTTTTCTACTTTTATAAAGTTTTTGTTCTTTCTCCCTTTGAATAAAGATTGGTATGTATCCATTATTACTGCCAGAAGGCTGTCATCTTTCAGTGAAGTTACTTCCTATTTTTCAGGTCAGGGTTGAGCTTTTAATTAAATTTCAGTCAATTTACATTTTTTTCCAGTTTATTTAATGGTAATTTACAAAGGCCATTGTCTCAAGAAACTTCCAAAAAAAAAAAAAAACCTTTTCCATGAACTTGTCACATCTCAATAAAATTTTTGAATAGCCTTTTACTCAGCTCCAATGAAACAATTTTACTTTTACATACTTTCTTTTTGCAAACAGTACAGTTTGTTTATATTGTTATTAAATACAAAAACTAGAATGTATGACTAAAAAACTAAGTTGGTTTTCCTTTAAAAGAAAGCTGAGAGGTTTCAGCACAAATAGTTTCAAATATAATATATAGTGTCAGACCTTTAACTTCATAAGATATCATATTATTTATATCCACAGATCTGATGAAAAAGATAACCTCAAAGTCTAGATACTACAGTAAATTTTTGTCAATGTAATGTATGCGGCTACTAGGCTGCTACATTTAAACTCATTTTCATCAAAACTGTCATTAAACGATATAAAACATAGCAAATAATTTTAAAAAGTCATTTATGGAGCCCCAGATGGGACAAATCTAGGCGACTCACCAGTATATGTGCTATAATATTACTTTATGCGCTAATTTGGTAAAGAAAAATTACAAACAGTAAAATGTGTGCATTGCTTAATATTTTCTTAGTTAAAGCCCATGATTTTTTTTTTTCTGTATTTCTAACATAGAGTCACTCCGTTGCTGGTCGTGTTTGCATTTGCAGCTAATGTGGAGCTGTTGCCTTGGAGCAGCTCTGTGCCATTTGTCCTTCAGTGGAACAAGGCTCATTATTTCAATGTGTGGTCACAGTATTCACCGTTACGCCCAGGGATCAAGCCGTCTCTCCATTAGGGAGAATCACTTTGAAAGGTCTTGTCTCCCACTTGAAAGACACTCACAAACTGGGATATGCATGCACAGCTGATGTACTGACATTATGTTTCAACTTTTGATGCTGAACTTGAAAGATGTTAACTGGTTGAACTGCCATTTGTGCAAAGTGCAACCTTTACATGTCAATGCTGTTTTGCTGTTCTGCACAGGAAATAAGATGCCGTTATCTCCCTTTGCTACTTACAAAGGCAGTGAGCTTAAATGTGGCTAAAATATGCAGCAAGGGCCTTTAAAATAGTCTCTCACTGCAGTACCAGTTTATAATAAATGCAGAAAGCTGTAATTTATTGCTTTTTATTTCTTTGTGATGTTGGGTTGTGCTTTGAGGTTAAAAAAAAGCCTAGAATCATATGAGACTGCCTTTAGGAAATTGAAATTCTGAATCTCGTCTAGATCTGAGAATTGTTTCTTTAAGTCTTTGAAATATATGATTTAATAATAATGTAAGTCTTAAAGCTGTAAGATTTGTAGTTAAACTTCAAAATCTAGATGCAGAAATTTGTACAAATCTCATTTAATCTCAGTCTATTTTCACTCTTTTCTGTTGGCAACGTTGTGACAGTTGAAGCTGCTGCTTTCTGCCCTCTGTCTACTCATTAGCATCACATAAACCTTTCTATCAAACTATGGTTTGTTTTAATATTTCCATAGTAAAAGAAGCATAAAAACATAAGTATTTATTACACAGTGGATTTTTGTTGCTCTTTTGCTCAAAATAATCCATTTGCATCTTGTCTCTGTTTTAGGAACGGATTAGTTTCTGGTATCACCAAAGTTTAAAACGGTTATGGATCCAAATCTGGTAAAAGTTTACATCTTACTGTTCATGTACTTCAAAAACTTTCTAATGAGATGATAAAGTGTCAGGATGGAAACAGTTACTTAGATCGTGTCGAGCATAGAGTAATGTAGATTGTTTTGCAAAAAATGTAGTCATGCTGTGGTAAACTGGTAAACTCACTTGTATTTAAGGTACACTGTTTTAAAACCAACTGCTAATCTAAGTAAACAACCAGGCTATTATACCAGCTAATATCACATTGTTGTATCCTGGTGTTGCAGCAAAGAGGGACAATATTCTGTGCAATATTCAAGCTTACTTGAAAACTAATAAAAAATGTAATGGGCATGTATTCAATGTTTTATTTATTGTCTATGTATCAAATTCACACAACATAATGGATTATCTTAGCATGAGAAAGAACAATTGTTTTTCTGTTTTTAATAAAATAAATTACATTGTTATGCCTTCAGTCATATCCTGAAAATCTTACACCAAATTGCTTTTTTATTTAAAAAGAAAAAAATCTTAATAAATAAAACCATGTGTCTGCTTCCTGAAAAGAAGTATAAGTCATGCAGTACATGCAGTTTACCTATGTGGCTTCGGTGTGATGATGCGCTGGTCAGTTGTCCCAAGAGAGACACCATACAGATGGTCAGGAGTAGCACCCTTCTGCACATGCTCTGTAGATCCCTCCCCTGCATTCTGAAACAAATTGGAAATAATGAAATTAAAAGAATTTCAGCTGTTTGACAGATCAGTAACATTAAAATATTCTTCTGCAGAGAGGATCCGTTGTTTTCCCTCTACAGCTACAACTCCTGCCAAGAAAAATGTGGAATCACTTCTCTTTGTGTACGCTCAGCCATTAATGTGGGCTGGAGTTCATCTCCAGTGGACAAAAGGCAGGGCACGGCCCGTGAGAGTCCATCACAGGACAAACAACAAAAAGGAAAACATATCAGCTTAAGAGCATTGAAAAAGGCCAAGATAGTGAAAGAAAACAAGACTGGAGGAATGCATCGTCACATTTATGGTAAAAAACAGAATCCTTCCACATAAAGTCAACCGTAAAAAGAGAAGACTAAAGCACAAACCCAGAAGGAAAGAGGGTTGGCGCAAAGTACAACCAATTCATAAGCCTCAGAGGTGGAAAGGTCAGATCTGAGTTGGCAAAAAAAAATATGTCTTAAGTAGCTAAAGTGGATCTGGAACATCGGCTGTTGGCCAGGTTAACAAAAATCAACCTGTGCCAGAGTGACAAGAAAAATGTATATAAGAACTTCAGAAGGGCTTTCTGTTGTGCATTGGAGTTTCAGGTTAGATTCTTGAAGGAATAGTGAAGTATATTAAAAGAGAATGGTTTTCCAATTTGTGGCTTTTATTTTATAATCATTGTCACTATTTATCACCCTCATTTTAATGGTTGATTAAAAAGCCTGTTTTAATTAGAAAGAATCAGTGGTGAAGGCTTATTTCAACACATTTCTAAACCCTCTAACATTTTCTACTTCTTTGTAGACATATTTTAATTGCAACAACAAAGGGGGGACAAGGGTAAACACAGCGTGGCAGAGATTGGTTGAACAGAAATAAATAAGATTTAGGGTTTCTCAGCATTTTGTTTCCACAATAATCCTGCCACATGGTCCACAATTTCAATTAAGTATCCATTTTATAATATGACTTTAAAAAATTAACACTTGCAAATATTAATGGTTCTAAGTGAATACACAGCTTTAGTTTCAGAGGGGCAACATTTTCACAAGAATTTATTTTACCGATGCTCTCAACTAATCACTCCTATAAGTTCCCCTACCATTATCATGCAAAGTTTCACCAAAGCATCAATGGGTCTTAGCCACATGTTAGCTCTCATTTCACGATATATATATATATATATATATATATATATATATATATATATATAATATTGTCAATGATGCTTTTATCTAATTATGTAGCTTTGTTCCAAAAATCTCAGCTCTTGTTACTAGAGAATCTAGATTTAGATTTTTTTCCATAAAAGTCAGAAAATAATTATCATTTTCGCAACACAGATCCCACACTGCGGGTGTAGCTGTGTACATTTTTATTATGCATCCAGAACACAAGTTTAATCGCCCTGCAGGAGAGGGTGGCAAAAAAACGAAAATGTGCCAGGAATGTCTTCCTCTGCAGGAAGTCCTTTGACTTTGACAGCTTATTCATCTAAGATTATGTAAGACGTCTTAATTCTATGTGCTGTATTAGAATTGTGACTTGGGATATTTTTTATTTATTTATTTATTTTTTTGATTTACTGTCTAATTTTTGAGTTTATTTTTTTCAACTAGTGACTCACCTGTATTAGTTTAAGTATATATTAATATGGACTAGTTACTAGTGTAAAAAAAACAGAAGGTTTCACAGAGAAATACATTACAGGGAGGCCTGGGAAGGTGAGCTAAAATGTTATCTCTTATCTGTGGAGTTTTTAGCGATGAGGATAAAAAGTAGTATAGCAGACCCCTGTATTTGTGTGGTAGTTAAGGACCACACAGCTCAGGAGTAACTAAAATCCACTAATATTTCACCCCACTTATGTCCCAAACCTCAAAAAAAATCACTTCAAAACTGCCTGATTTAATTAAGACACCAAATATACGTTAATACAGTGGAAACCGTCTCGGTACTACTGGATTGGTTGCTTTGCAAATAACATCCAAAGTAACATTGCGCCAAGGTATTTCAATTTCCAAAGCATTTTTTTTTAAATATGAAACAAAAAATCTGTACTTTTTGTTTTTATTTTTTTCTGCGAGTTTTCCACAAATAATTTGGAGGTCCAATCTGCAGAAAAATCTGGAAATAGGTGAACCCATGAATATTGGACCACAAATCAGTAGGATACACTAAGCCATAGAGTACACATTATAGAATAATAGCATCCAACTGTATTTGTTTTATTGATTATGTTGTAAAAATAACAGCAACAAGTTTTTAAATTTTAACAGTTTTTTGGGGAAATTGCATGCTGCATCGAAAAGAATTTATCACTACTAGTTCAAAATTACAGTCTTATTATGATTATTGTAATTCTCAAGGGATACAGTAAATGGTCTAAAAGTGTTTTTTGCTTTTGAACATGCAAAACATCTTATAAAAAAATTCAAAAACACTCAAATAAATGCAAATGTATAATAGATGAGGAATATTTAACACAGACATGGATAAAAAATAGTTTGAAAAGCAGAAGGTAAAAAAAAGCTCTGAGTCAATTCACTCCCTCTCTTAGTTTTACCCACAGTTCACACCCACGTACTGCCATTTTGGCCTAATCTATTTCTATTTCAAACCTGTAAGCAAGCTAGTTTTTTCCCCCTGTGCTTAAACCATCATGTATAAAATGTGTTACTTAGTTGAGCATTTTGATAAATACATAAATATCCATAAAATCCCCAAATCTCACATAAGATCTAATAAGAAAAAATATATTTTATATCACATTTAACATCTACTGATTGTGGTTCTTGAACCTGTTGGCTCTTGTGTAATTTGGGAAAACACAAACCCATAGTTAGAAGAAATAACTAATAATAACATCCTGCTGATTGACACAATTCACTGTGTGAAGTAACAACATTACTCATCAGAAGACTTAAAATAATATTTTAGGGAATTACTTTAAATTGTCAAGTTTTAAACTACGTACAAAAATATCCCCAAAGTAGGCATGATTTTCTTTGGGGATTTGACTGTTTATGACGACAACAACAGTCAGGAAGGCAGAGTCGGCTCCAGAACACACACACACACACACACACACATATATATATATAATTTTTTTTTTTTTTTTTTTTTTTTTTTTTGCAGATGAATTTGGATGCACTTCGGTAATGCGACCCAAATGGTATTCATCCATTAAAAGATCTTGCTCCTCATGGCTCAGAAAACACTTTAAAATATTTTTTACCAGTTTATAAATCACTGAATGACTTAGCACCAAAATACTTTAAGATCTGTTGTCATTGTGTCAACCTTCCAGATCACTCAAGTCTTCTGGTTTACATCTACTCTGCATCTCCAGAATCAGAACCAAACATGGGGAATCAGCATTCAGTTTTCACCATTAATCTGGAAAAAAATGTCTAGGAAACTGCAAAACAGCCAAAACACTGACTTCTTTTAAATCAAAGCTGAAAACCCACCTGTTTTTACCTTTAACTCACATTGATCTGGAACATTGATCAAGATATTTGCTTGATGATTTTGACAAAATATAATGTTTATTGCTGCTTCATAATTGGTTGCAATATTATTAGCACTTTGAACTGCCTTGTTGCTGAAATCTTATTTACAATTAATCTTGACTAAACATTAAATCTGCAACAGGGTGAATTTGACTAAGCATTCTCATGGTTTTATTATGTTAAAATTTAACCTTCATTGATTTACAAAATAACTGTTGATTTACTGTTGATTAGGTTTCATATCAATTATGGAGATAATGGCAACTCAGATGAAGGATGTCCTTTTGCAGTGAAAGGAGCCCAAAGTGGTATTCTATTCCTCCATCATGTTCTAAATGGATAAGGCAGAATCTGGTCACTTGCGAGAAGCTGAGTCCATTACCATGGCAGAGGTTGAATGGGAAATTATGTATTTGTTAATCATTATCATCCTGGGATAGAAATGATGATTTTTGATGATGCATAGCAATCTGGAACACTGTTACCATGACTTGGAAGTTACATTTTCTGTGTCTGTAAACCACCTGCACTCACTCCCTGCCTGCAGCAGGCTCAGAAACAGAACTGAGGTGCTGAGACAACTAAGCATAAAGCAATCCATTTTGATGATCACACTTATTAATTTTTAAATGCAAAGTGAGGGGAGAGGTATAGATTATTTATCAAGGATCCAAAAAGCCTGCGTGTAACAGCCTCAACTGCACTTGTGCAACCTCAAGAAAGTAAACGGCACTAGTGAAAATATTTATTTGAATTTGTTTATGCTAAGAACCACAAAGTCATAAACTTGTTTGAGATTTTCTCTATTTAAAAGAAAAAAATGCGCCTTTTTTTACCATCATGGGGAAAAAACTATCTAAAAGGCAAGATCATATTAACAAGCATCACTCTTTCAAATGCATATGTTTTGGTCTGAATTTGGATTATCACCAGTCAACATATGCCTAAATAAAACCCTGGGCAAATAGCTCATTGAATCTGTGATGATGTGACAGACTCTGAGTTTGCTCAGTTTTTTTTTTTTTTTTTTCATTCAGTCTGTGTGCTCACACGTCTCGATTGCATCAGCTGTCTGAGCCCATTCAGAATTAGAGCATCCTGTTAAGATCTCACCAGCACTGGCTGTCAGTACAAAGAAAGTCACAGCAAAAGAACTCCTCCTTGTGTGCCTCTGCCAGATAAGCAATAGTTCATCTTTTAGCATCAAACCAAGCATTTTACTAATTTTAGCGACTGTACTGGATCCCAGTTCAAAGCAAATGTGTGATTTGCATCTGCTTTCTCAGGAGAGAGGAGCTGAACACTGCTGGCAGCAAGATGAGCTGCTGAGTGTCCGGCTCTCCGTGGGTCCATCAGTTGGGATGAAGGGTATTACTGGACAGCATTCATCTAAAGGAACAGGAAGATTACTGAACTGAGCACAATAGGCAAGACCACACAAACAGCAATACTCAGCTCTCACAAAGCTTGATA